CCACTTTTTAATCCAATTTCTTCGTTGATTCTTCATCCTTGAACTTCACTGAAGCTAACAGAAGAAGAACCAAGCCTTGAGGTATCCTAAATCGTGCTAGCCAAGTCCAATTGCAGATCAAATTCATCTGACTTTATTGAGGTAGTTTAAGGCACCAAATCTTCTAACTCAAATTACTGGAATGGTCTATGATGTTCACTGATGCTTGCTATTAACTTAATTTTGTTGAATCAATTCATTTGATGCATCTGTTTTCGATTTCAAAATTTTCAAAACATCTCTTATTTTTTCCAAATCGAGTAAGTTGTGTTTTATATAACTTTGGCGCGAGGATATGGTTGTGATCGTATTGAAGAGACGCGTCTAATGATACCATTATGAGCGTCTAAATTTACGTATTTAAGAATCATGATTTCGCCCTAGTTGCATGGTAGATGGAGGTTGAAGATGACCTATGTGTCTTCTTCAATCAATGAGAGCGGGACAATTGAAATATTGTGATTGGTCTGACCATCGTTACTTCAGTGTGCGCTTGTTGACCGTGGATCACCATACATCATCACTCTTGAGCCATTAGATGTGCAAGCGTGTTTTAATGAACCGGATTCAATGCCTCACATTATTTCTGATTTATTTATTTTTACAAAATTTGTTTTAAATTTATTTTAATTTCAAAAATTCATAACTCTCTTATTTTTCATCCAAAAATTATGAAAAAAAATATACAAAAATACTTTGATTTATTTTTGACTTTATGAATATTTTTTCATATTTTTATTTTGATGTTTGATATTTTTCATAATTTTGTTTTGTTTGCCTTATTTTAATTATTTTAAAAATATTTTCTGGTCTTTTTAAATTCTGAAAAAATTATGTAAGGATCCTATGACCTCTTGACAAATATTGGTGACATCATTTTATTTTTATTTCTGACTTTACTATTTTTCACAAATTTTGGTTTTTTTTTCTTATTTTCTCCAAATTTTAAAAACAGTTTTTGACTTTAAAAAATTCTGAAATTTTTTGTCAACTATTATTGAATCATGTTTGACCTCTGACTTTTTTTAGGATTTTTATTTGGTATTTTAATATACTTTATGTATTTTACCAATTATTTTTCTCTTTATTAACCATTTTAATTTTGTTTTATTAAATTTTATTTTTTTATTTTTTATTTGGTCCTGACTTGGATTTCATTTGGTGACAAATTCCTCAACCTCATTGGATCTTGGGTGTTGATAGGTTGAGAAACCAAATCCAGCAAAATGGATGAATGATGTTGATGATATTTGAAACCCTAATTTCATATAATACATCCCCTCCCTCTTCATCTTATCCCTTTCTTACTTGTGCTACATGTTGTTAGAGAATGATCTACATATCATTTCTCTAAACATATGCTACATAAATTGCTATTGACCGGCCTCAAAATAGGTGTGAATTCTACATAAGTCCACTTACGATTGCTTAACATAGCACTAAATTTTGTCCCGATTCCAGAAACGATCATTTGTGGCCTAAACCTATATTTGCAAGCCCATGTATGTTTAATTTGAAACCTTTGATCCAATAACCTTGCGGTTTATTGTTAGGAGGCTTTGGTCTTATCAATCCTATAATGAATCATCATAAATTTTGGTCTAGGTGAATCATTTAAACATCGTTGATCATTTGTTGTTGCTTCGAGAACTTGAAATGAATAATATACTTGACAAAAAGCAAATGAAACTTGTTGTTGAGAGGCTTTGATTTTATCAATCTTCTAATGAGTTTTCAAATGCAAGTTTCAAGATGGCCATTCAACTAACCTCTAATTTCTAACTCATTAACAATTGAGTTTTATTTTATGCTTTTACTTTATGTCATTACTTTAAGCACCATTTATTTTAGAATTTACATTCCATGCTATTTTCATCATTGCTCACTTGAGCATTTATCTTTATGTCATTTTTATTTTGCTCACTTGAGCTTTCACTTTCTTTTTAAAGATACCGAATAACCAACTTGAACAATAAAAAAATTTAAGGTTACTTGGACTATTTGGTTACTACCCTTGGCATGATGGAGTTATGGATTTCTTGGACCTAGGATTAGAGACATTGACTACCCTTGAGACCTTGGTGACTTCTGTTGTTATTTTGTCTGGAGTTCTTGGGATTTACCCCAAGACATTGGGTTGTTTTTCTTTGTGTGCAGGTTATTCTAATTATTTTCTTTGTTTGTGATTGGGAATTCGTCTGTATACAACCGTTACTCTGCCCAATTTTTGTGAAGACTTAATGCATTTGAAGCTTGGTATTCTTAAGAGGTTTAATATCTTTGCTTGTTTGGTTTTAATCCAAAGGATGAGAATTCTACACTGACTCATTGTGTCAAGTGTTTGCTTCTTGTTGGTTAGACGGTTCTTTTCCCTAGATTTTACCTTATGCTTTAGAATAATCCCTTCATCTCCTCCCATCTTCTTTAATTTTAAAAATATTCTCCCTCCTTTTCAAAACTTTTCTTGTTTTCTAAACTCGAACCGCTTTCATAATAAACTTGGACTTAGGTCCATGCATTTTCAAAAATATTTTCTTAATCAAACTTCAACCAACTTAATCATACTTTGATATTTTTTGTGAGAAGACTAAAATTCAATCAATCTCATTCAAACCATTTTTCCGCTTTGGCTTTTTACCTTAAACTTTTCTCAAAAGATTAGACTCTTGTCAATCCTTGTAGTGATGCGAGCTACTGTACTTATATGATATGTAGTGAAGTGAGATATTTTCCACTTGGGTGTTAAGTGAGACTTTGTTGATTTTAAAATCCAAGCTATATCCTCCACTTTGAGATGGCGCAAATTCTCCTTTCTCATAATCGTGGGTAGTAAGTATGTTCTTCCACTCGGATAGAACGATGATGTCTCGTCTCTTAAAATTAACCAACATACTTGAGTTTTAAATTTTTTTAAGGTGAACTACGAGTATCCTGATCCCCTATTGCACAGAAGGTGGTACATAAGCACTAAAGGTTCGCAACTGCGGCAAATGCAAAAATTATAAAAAACATATATTTCTTTCCTCATCTCCACCATTTATTTTTTTTTTGTATACAACACTTATAGTCAAAATAACAATTTTTCAAAGAGGTTTCTACGGAGTACCGTAGATGTTTAAGATGCTAATATCTTCCCTTTGCATAACCAACCTCCGTACCTAGATTCTCTCCCCCTCTCTTTTTGGGTTATTCTCTCTTTTCCCATTCCTCTGAAAACAATAAAGCGCAGTAACGATTTTATTTGATTTGTGCAAGTTAAGTCAATCCAATGGCTTAGTCTCAACATTTATACTGCTACAGCAACACCTTATTGTGAGCTCTACCTTATGGAGGTAACTCAATGTCATTGAAATCTAGGCGCGATGCTTATGTCAGATTGACCACGACTCCATCAAATTAGTTTATCGTGATCACCTTTGTAACATGAGCAGAACTCTGAATTGATCAGCAACAGGAGTATTGAAATCTTGGCCGGGGTTTGATGAAGTTGATCCACCACACTATAGTTACTCTTCTTGATTATTTTTAGAAACTCGTAAGCCTCTTGGTCGACGAAGGCTTTACTTGGAGGCTCTTGCCCCTTACTATTTTCGGCCACAACTTTTGCTTTATCCTTAGTCAAAGTATCATCCTTCTTGTGTTTATCTGGAGCATATATACGACCACTGCGGGTCATGTCCCATGTTCCTGCTATGTTTGTAACTGCAGACCCTTCACTTGTTGAGGACTCAAATTCTTGTTTCAATCTATTAACATAAACAGTGGTGTCGTAACTCCATGGCACAACTTTATCACTTTCACAAGGAATGAGAGATGGCCCCTTGATCACCATTGTACTCTTGGAAGCGTTGGCATCTTCAAAGTTTGACCTTGGTATGGTATTGTTATTGGTATTTTTGTTGGTATTGGTTCCCCACAAGAAATTACAAGGGGTTTCTTTGCAGAACTTAGACCTTGGCAAGGAATCACCAATGGTCTTCTTGTATTTACATTGAATTTGGCTACATATCCTTCTTCAGGGTAATGCCTGAATTGGACTATCCCTTGATCCACTAATTTCTTGAAAGGGTTCTCGAAAGCATCATTGTGTTCCAAGAGAAAGACATGTTCCATTAAATGCTCCTTCAGAATATCTATTGGAGCTTTTACTCGCTTAGTCCCTCCATGATTAATGACTATCTCAATTGCGTTCACAGTTGAACCACCATGCAGAGGCATGTGGTTTGTCTTGATATTTGGCTTATCAAATGTGATATCTTGGGAGTCTATCATATCTTGAACCTTGATTCTGAAGGCCCAACATTTATCAATAGTATACTCTGGAGAATTTGCATGATATTTGCACCTTGCATTCACATCATATTTTGGAGGGAGCGTCCCAGTTGGAAGAGCAAGTGGGTTCAACTCTACCAAAAATGCCTTAAGCAAGTGTTGTAGTAGTTGACTGTGTGGTATAGAGAGATGATCAAATCTTTTCGGAGGTCTTTCAAACCTATTTTCTTGTTGTGGGTTTACCAATGGTTGATGTGCTTTCTGGTGCATTGCGACATCATTAGCTTCTCACTCTTTTACTATCAAGAAAATATAATTAAAAAAAATTATCTTTATTTTTTTTATCATTTAAATTAAAATTTAATTTTTAGGTTTAGATTTAGTTTTAAAATTATAAAAAAAAATTTTATAATAAAAATTATTTATTTAATTTTAATTTAGATTTAATTTTATTATTTATAAATATCCGAAGAAATATCTATCTTCAAAAGGGCTCATTGGTCAATATACAAGACCTAAAGAGGATAAGGTTTGTTTGGTCTTGTTATAAAGAGGAGAAGGGTGGATCGATAGAGGCGGAGGCCACGGTTCGCACTAATCTCCTGCAAACAACAACTTCCCTCTCGCATGCTAGCAACCTTCATCATCGATTCAGATGGTTCTGCGGAATGAACAGGGAAGTTAATTGATTATGTTGGTTTTGTGATAACATTGGGTGGTGAAATATTGATGACATTATGTTTGTTTTCTAGTGTTGGTTTGTAAATGAAATTGTTTATATTACTTGTTGAACTAAGGATATAATGATGTTGGTTCGTTTGTTTGTAAGTTGGAACCTTGACAGTGAAATCGAAACTTTGGGGATATGACATTGTTGAATGGAGTTTCGAAATTTGGTTGTGTGCTCTAATTTGAATGTTGAGTTTTGATGATATTACCATGCTACTTGAGTTTCTAAGGGTGGTTGTCCATGATAATAAAGCGGAGTTCGATCTTATTCTGAGTTAGATTTGTATTGTGCTGCTGAAAATTGTAATAAACTTTGTGAATTAGAATGTATGCTTGGTTGATTTTGGAGATTACATTGATTGATAACCTGAGTTTAATTCTTGTTTTCATTTGTTTTGACATGAAGTTGTGATAATCTGTGGAAAATCAGTTGAAAATTCAATGGCATTTCATTACTTTTTGTGTTGAAAGCTGTTGGTATTTTTGTTTCATTTGTGTCGATTTGGAAAGTTTAATTCGGCTACAGCATGATTTTGTTGTCTCGTTGATATGGAACATGATTGAAATGAATTCTATCTATGGAGCTTTATCATGTTTGAACCCGATTTTTCATGTTGCAACACGAATTCTTGAGTCTTGTTCTCTCTCGTGAACTGAAATCATGTTTACCATTGACTTTACTTGATTGAATGTGCGTGAAACAATGTGTTAAATGCTGAATTTTTGTATGCATATTGAGTAATAATTTGTTTTCTTAGTTCTTTGATCAAGAAATATTTATGGTACATGTTTCAATTATCCAAGTTGTATTTGATTTGATTCATCTTGTGAATACTTACTTGATTTCTTGGTTATTCATTTGTTCATGAGCATTCCTTTGATTTTATCTTGATTTTTATGTTTGTAAATATTAATTTGTTTGTTAGTTTGTGCAAACATCTCATCACGGATCAAGTAGCCGCTTCCGCTTCACATCATCCATCTTTCTTTATCTTCACTTTGATCAATTAATCAAAATTGATTTATTTATTTGATTTTGTTATTAAAAATGGATTAGTTTATTAATTCATTTTTCTTAACTCGATTAATTAAGATTAATCAACTCTTGATTAATCGATTAAAATTTCATTTCATGTTACTTTGTTATTTTAAATTAATTAATTAAAAGTCAATTTAGTTATTTAATTTTGTTATTAAAAGTTAATTAGTTTCGGCTAACTAACTTTTCTTAACTTAATTAATTAACTTAATCAACTTTTTAAGTTAATTAATTAAGCATCTATTTCTATTTTTTTTTAGCTTTGATACAGGTTTATAATCCACTTGGATTGATTCCTATTTCATATGAGATGCGTGGATTATTTCTCTATTATATTGTTTGTCTGCTTTGTCTATTTGTTGGGAATGTTATCTAATGCAGGGATTTTTATTCGATATCTTGATTTTTTATCTGACACCTTGAGTCTACCTGATATACCTTATCGGCTTGTGATTTATTTTCACCTGTTGCGCTTTATCCGATGCTTTGAGTTATCTGACGTTTGGGTTTCTCTGATGTTGTCTGCTTGTGATTTATTTTGATTTGAGATTTGGTATACTCTTGACTCATTTATATGCTCGTGACTTTAAATCCAAAGGATGAGAATTCTTTGTTGACTTTCTATGTCAAGCATTGACTTCTTGTGAGGTCAGATGTTCTGCTTTACCTTTACCTTTTACTTCTCATGTACATAGAACATTATCTTCATCTCCTTCTTTAATTTTCAAAACCTTATCATCTTTTTCAAAACATTCTTTTTCAAATTATAACTGCTTTCCTAATAAACCCTCGAGTGACTTTTTCTTTTCAAATTTCTTTTTCTTAATTAAAATTCAAAACACTTAATAAATAAAGATGTGAATCGTATGCAGTTGAGTTTTATAGGGGACTAGTTAGGTGTTATCTTTCGGAATCTTGCTCTTTCTTCATTCTCGGACTTTATTACGATTCAATTTGCATTTTTTTTGCAAATAAGCGTAGAAGTAGCGAGTCTCCCTCTCCTGGGATCCATTTGCTATGTATCCCAACAACAATACACTTCATCTAATTCAAACTTTTTTGTACGTTCGAGCACCTTTTACCTTTAAAATCTTTTTTCAGATTAGACATGATTCATTTTTAATCGAGATGTTATTCCTCTATCCCCATGGTTGTTGACTTCTCCACTTGAGTACTAAAGGTGTTCCTAAATCCTCCCTCATTTTAGTGCGTAGTCTTTCTTTCTTTATCACACATTGGGGGCGATCAAACGAGTTATCTCATTAAAAATGACGACTAGTCTCTTCATTTAAAATCAACCAATAGATAAGTCTTTTTTAGTCGAACTACGGTGCTCAATGACTTTCCCTTTAGCAAGTAAGCCTTTAGATAACACACATTTTGAAAGAAAACAAATAAAGTGGATCTTGCGTAGTATCGTAGATGCTTATGGTTCTAATACATTCACTTTGCGTAATCGACCCCCGTACCTCATCTCTTATTTTCCATGTCTTGGGTTTTTATTCGCTCTTTTTCCATTTTCCCTTTGGAAATAATAAAGTACGGTGACAACTTCATTGAGTGAGATAAGTCAATTGATGACTTAGTCTCAAATCTTTACCTCTACATTTTTCGCATTATACATAGTGCGACAATGCCAAACAATTTTCACAAGCCCCCCATTCTTTCTTATCAGCAAAATAACGAGCCTTAAATTCTAAGTATTGTCTTTTGATACCTTGCACTTCACCACCCTTTTTGTAGTTGAGTATTAAGTCAGTGACGGGTATCCTTTGTTCTTTAGCCAAGTTTCAAACTTTGATGGTTCCCAATTCTTATATAAGCCTCATCCTTGATTTCAGAGAATCCAAAAATCCTACCGAATCCCTCCAAAGTAGGCGTCAATTGAAAATTTAGAAAAGTGAAACACCTTAGCGGAGGGTCATGGAATTGAGCAAGAGAAGTAATAGCTTCCTCTTGTACATTTACTTTTGTGAGATAAATGATATCCCCATAGCGACGAAAGAAACCTTTCATAGCTTTTTCAGGTAGTTTCTCTCTAATTATCTTGATCTTCTTCATATCTGGTATTGTGGCACTGATGCGGGTGGTCGGTTTCTTATTAGTATTCATTTTGAGATGCTCACGAAAAGAGTCTAGCCCTATAATCAGTGGTTTTTACACGGTTATTTATCATTGATTTTAGTTATCTTTTATGGATATTATCAAGCATTTTATCTTATGTTTTCATATTTTATGCATTGGTTGTATGTTTTACTATTTTAGGCTCACGTGAATAAATCGAGACAAATCAGTGCAAAAAAGTGCAAAACTTAGAGTTTCGGAAAAAGTGCAAATGTCATGCTATAGGAGGCCTAACACGGGCCGTGTTAGGTGGAAGACCTGAGACGAGTTGAATAAGAATTGAAAGCCAGAGGTGCAACACGGGCGACCGTGTCGCCTGACACATGCCGTGTTGCACATCCCGGGGCTTGGAAATTAAAATGAAGAAACCAGAAGGCCAACACGGATGGCCGTGTTGGCCAGTGACGCTGATTTTTATTATTTTCCTAATTTTTCACTATAGGTGACCCAAAGGGATGTTTTGGATATTTCCAACTGACCTGAGTGAGTGTTTGCTATTTAGATGAGTTTTGAAGAGAAAGTAGGAGACTTTTTCCCATTGAAGAATTGTTACACGATTGAAGATTGGAGAGATCAAAGTCATTGGAGATCGGAAGATTCTCATGAGTGGAAGCAATTTAAATTCAAAGTTATCCAAGTACATGTGATGTCTAGTCCTTATCTTGTAACTCTTTTGAACAATATGAGTAGCTAAATCTCCTAATGTTATGAGGTGTCTATGATTTGATTTTGCAATGACTATGAATTCCTAATTTCAACAATTTATTGGTTTTTCATGTTCAATTTAATTGTACAAGGTTTTTATGCTTTCTTTGTTGGACAAACAAGGATTAATTTACGGTTAACAATTAGCTAGACCGTGGTTGTTAAGGTTTTTGTACGATTAGACTATAGTAGATATCACATAGGACTATGGATACCCTATAGTTACTGGTTAACTCTTGATAAAACAAAGACTTGATTTCATCATAATTCTCTAAGGATTTAGGATTTAGGAAGAATGTTCAAAGATTTTCCCACTAAGAATTTAGGGGAAAATAACCTAAAGAGCTGGTAATTGAATGTCATGAACTTGTTGAAGAAATCAGGATTCAAGATTATTACAGTGCAAATCATACTCTGACTCTAGCATGCTCCTCATATATGTGAAAAAGCCTATTTATAATTATGCTTATTTTTACTTATTGCTAAGTGAGAATTTCCAAACAAAACCCCAATTTAAGTTTTTGTTTAATTGAACCACAAATTGAACTCGATACTGATACACAGTCCTTGAGATCGATATTTTGGGATTTTCCATTATTACTACATTAGAAAATTAGTACACTTGCTAATTTATCGATCAAGTTTTTGGCGCCATTTCGGAGACTGCCAAAATATAGAGTTTAATTGTAGTTCAATTATAATTTTGTTTCTTTGCGACTAAAATTTTATTTTATGTTATTTTAATATTTTCGTTATTACTGATTGGTGTCTAACCTTTGTATGCGAGGAAACCCCTCAGCTGAATTTCCTTTTGACGCAGAAATTGAAAGAACCTTTCACGCAAGGCGTAGACAAACTCGATTAGCCAGACTGACCTCCAACAAACAATATTCAGTTCATACAGAGTCAGTGTCAAAACATCATTCAAGTTCAGAGTCCAAAAAGGAAGAAGAAACTATGGGTGAAAATCCACCAGCACCTGAGAGACTTCTTGGGCACTATGGAGGAGCAAATGCTCCAGCAGGTCAGTTACCTACTGTGAATCAACAGGTAACTGTTGAAAGTTTTCAGCTACACCCTTGAACAATCCGACATGTTGAGAATAAATATTTCATCGGGAAGATAAATGAAGATGCGAATAAGCATTTGCAAAGGTTTCTTACTATGAGCGCTACTTTGAAGATTGAGGGGCACTCTAAAGAGGAAAATAAATTAAGAATGTTTCTGTTCACGCTTTCTGAAGATGCTGAAGAGTGGTTTTAATCATTGTCTGCTGGGAGTATTACCACTTGGGAATAGATGGAGAAATCTTTTCTTGACAAATACTTTCCTACTTCAGTTTAC